CCAGGAAAGACCCAGCAAGGCTCGAGCAGGAGAGAGACGGCCTCTGAAGACAAGGAGCCTCAGAGCTGACTGGAAAATCCTGTCAAGGGACTGGGTTGCCCTCTGCGTAACAGCTCTTTAAGACCTCCCAGGTGATTGAATCGGGGCATTTTAGCCTGCCTCCAGATTGTTAGGTACCTTCTTAGTTTTTAAGAAATTATTTAAATTCTGTATTTGCTGAACTTTTTCTGAGATGCTAAAAGGGTTGCTGGTGTTTAGTACACTGCTAGAAGCAGGAAGAAAATGATTACATGTTTAAAGAACTAGTTAGAGAATACATTTAAAATACCTAAAAGTAACTGGCTCCCTTCTTAGCCCAGCATATTGCACCTGTAATTAGCACCCAAAGGCCGCATGAAAATTTGGCTTCAAACCTGCAAAACAGACCAGTCAATGCTGGCACCTTGCTGATGGGACACAGGCTCTGTGTTGAGTGGGGGCTGGCGGTCACTGGAATTAAGAAGTATAACTTCTGGGACATTTCCTGAACAGTGTCCCAGAATTAGAAACCCAAAAGCGCCAGGATTCTGCAAACGTCTTCCACTTGCTGCCGTGCCTGCAGAGGTGAAGCTGTGTGGCAAGATCTCCTTAGAGATTCAATATCTCCTTGGGGCCCTTGAGTGTCTGGGACTGACGGGAGGGTACTGGTGAGAGTGATAAAATGGCATGTGTTTGCAAGTCCCTTAGTGCCGTAAGATTCTTTACCAAATGGTGTCCATAGCACAGAGGGGCAGAACCACAGCACTTACATCAGAAGCAAACCCTCTGTTTCTCTCAGGAAGGAACTTTAAATCATAATAGAGGTAATCAGAAAAAACAATTGCTTTTACAATTTTGAGAATGTAACCCTAAAGAAAATGAGCAGAACAGCCACTAATGTAATAAACACCAGGATGTCTTACGCATAGAAAAATAAAAGCAATACTACAATCAACATGACAATCAAATGAAATTTAATTTTAACTGTGGCCCACTTTGGAATCTCAACCATGTTTGTTACAAACACTTTTGTTGACCATTTAGCCCCTCATTTTAACTCTAAAATGTCCTCCAAAACGCTTATTTGAATGTAAAGTTTATATAGTATGCTTACAGTAAAAAGCACGTTCATTAAATTACACTGAAATTTAAATGTGAGGGTTTTTTCTCATTTCTAGTGAAAACTTTGATTATAAATACAGCGGTAAATATGAGCCCGGGGAGACGCCATGCACCCAGGATCCGGAGCAGCACGGAGGCGGTGAGTAATAGCTCTTCAAGTCTGCAGTAAAAATGGCCTCCAATAAAACTGCATTGCGAAAAATGGGAAAGAAACAGAATGGGAAGAGTAAAAAAGCTGAAGAGGCAAAGCCTGAAGAATTTGTAGTGGAAAAAGTATTGGACCAACGAGTAGTGAATGGGAAGGTGGAGTATTTCCTGAAGTGGAAGGGACTCACTGATGCTGACGATACTTGGGCACCTGAAGAAAATTTAGATTGTCCAGAGTTAATTGAAGCATTGCTTCATTCTCAAATGGCTGATAAAGAGAAAGATGATACAAAAAGAAAGTCTTTATGTGACAGTGAATCCGGTGATAGCAAATCAAAGAAGAAAAGAGATGCTGCTGATAAACCCAGAGGCTTTGCCAGAGGTCTTGATCCTGACGAATAATTGGTGCTGCAGCCAGCAGTGGAGAGTGAATGTTGCTCATGACACGGAAAGACTCAGATGAGGCAGATTTGGTGCTGGCAAGAGAGGCAAATATGAAGGGTCCTCAAATTGTAAGACGAAGCCCAAAGTAATTGTTTATGTTGCTTTATATATATATGTATATATAAGCCTGGCTCTTGGATTTTTTTATTTATTAGCATGAAGAAATAACTACATTATAATAAAAATCAAGTCTGATAAAAAAATATAGATGAGCCCGGCTGAAAGAGAGGGGATAATCAGACACAGCAGACAACGCCTGTCTTTATGATGACGGAAGTGTCTGGGTCTCTCAGAAACTGGCACAGAAACGGTTACTTCCTTGTCAGAAGAGTAAAGGTCAAAAAGAACATTAACGGAAAAGATTTCACTGTTGACTGTGCTTGAAATAAAAGCAAAGATTGTCTGCTAACTATTTAAAGTTTTCTCCCTAATTAGCCCTGACTGCTGTGGCTGGGTTGGGCGTCCTCCCGCAAAGCTAAAGGTCACCAGGGATTCCCTTCTAGGATCACGTGCCTGGGTTGCAGGCCAGTCCCCAGCTGGGGTCCAAGCAAGAGGCAGCCGACCCAGGCTTCTCTCACACATCGATGTTCCTCTCCCTTGCTCCCTCATTTTCATCCTCCCTTCCCCTCTCTGAAAATAAGTAAAATCTTTTCAAAAAGTAATAAAATGATAAAGTTTTCTCCCTAATTAGACATTTAATTCTAAGCCTACACAAACAAAACTTTGGAGCAAATTTCTTGTAGCAAAATAGAAACAGTAACTAAAGTATATTTCTAACCTAACAAATCAAGCATTTTTCTCACTTAATTGCATCTCCTTTCAGAAATAAATCTAAGGAGATATATCCATATTTCAATGGGAATAAAAAATGATTGTTATTGTCCCAAAACTGCTACAATATGTTACTAATAAAATTAAGGCCTGAAAAATATTTATTAATCAATCTAATAATTAAATACGTAAATGTAGCAACCTGAATTGGATTTTTTAAATTAAGATTTACATTTGAAAACAAATTTCCCTCTCTAACACACAAAAGAAAATATGTAATGAAAATCTTTCCTCTAGATAGAAAAATAACATACCTCTGCTCTTTGACTTTTGTTTTAAAGTTGCCATGAATGGGAAACCTTGAAAGTTATTTGAAGTCACTGTGTTTTTTCATTATAAACAGCATTTTTTTGAAGGGGCATTCTTGTGACCCAGTTACGAGGATAGCGATCAGTTTTGTACTGCTAGACCATCCTCAGTAGCAGGACCACAAACTCAGGGGAAATAGACAGGCCTTAAGCTGGTAAGTAGTGTGAAGGCAACACCGTGACCACCGCTTACCATTCTACTGTTCGGGGTAACTATTTCTTGGCTAAAATCTCAAGAGCTCTAAAAATCAGTTCTTTTATTTCAGTAAGCACACAGCACATGCAAACTAGTAAAATATAATAGAAAAAATCTGTCACGTCAAAAGCAACCAATTTCTCAGTTTAGCATAATTTATAGCAAACGTTGAAGAATAAAAATACTCATTGATAAATGTGCTAAAAATTTCTTCCCAGGAACCTAGCCACAAATGTATAACCCAGTTACTAGATCAAATTTCTAGAACACACACAAGCTCTGAAGATGAAATACGCATCTCCTTTCCAAATGGCCATCAGAATGTTTTGTTCATTTTTTATCACAAGTACATTATTCACACCAAAGTACATGTCTACTTAGCAGTAAGCTCTGTGTTTGAAATGTTGTAACACAGAAGCTCTATATTTGAATTCAAAGGTCTAAAATGAAAAACAGACCTCTGCAAAAGGTACAACTTCACCAGGGATAACTACAGTTAACACTGCTGCATGATATACAGAAAAGCTGTTGAGAGAGTTAATCCTAAGAGCTCTCACCACAATGAGAAAATGTTTTCCTTTTTTTTTTTTCTTTTCTTTCTTTTCCTTTTGTCCTATCTATATGAGAACATAGATGTGAGCTGAACCTAATGTGGCAATCATTTCACACTACGTGTAAATCAAATCATCAGGCTGTGTACCTTACACTTTAAAAAATAAATCAATTAATAAAAGGCATGTCAAATGCCCAGGGCCAGCTGCTACTGCCCAGAGTCCGGCTCTTTCCAAAGGAGCAGCAGAGGTGCATGAGCCACAGCTTAAATGGGAATGTTATATCTTATGGCAGCGATTGGCAAAATTTTTCTGTACAGGGCCAGAGAGTAAACAATTTCAACTCTGAAGGTCATGCGGTCCCTGAAACTACTCAACTCTGCATTGTATCACCAAAGCAACCACAGCCAATATGTAAATGAATAAACGTGGCTGTAAGCCAATAAAACTTTATGGACCCTGAAAACTGAATTTCACATAATTTTCACATAACATAATATATTAGTTTTCTTTTGCTATTTTTTCAGCTATTTAAAAATGTAAAAACTGCCCTGGCTGGATAGCTCAGTTGGTTAAGAGTGCCATTAAGACACGCCAAGGTGTGGGTGCAGTCCAGGTCAGGGTACATACAAGAATCAACCAACGGCCCTCGCTGGTGTGGCTCCGGGGGTTGAATGTGCGAGCCTGCAAACTGAGGGGACACCAGTTCAGTTCCCTGTCAGGACACATGCCTGGGTTGCAGGCCAGGTCCCTGGTTGGTGGCCTGCAAGAAGCAGCTGATGGGTGTTTCTCTCGCACATGGATGTTTCTTCCCCTCTCTTCCTCCCTCCTTTCCTGTTTCTAAAAAACATAAATAAAGTCTTTTAAAGAATCAACCAATGAATGCATAAATAAGTGGAGCAAGTCGATATTTCTCTCTCTCTCTCTTCCTCTCCCTCTAAAATCAATAAACAAACTTCAAAAAAAAATGTAAAAACCATCAGCAGGAATGACCTGGGGGCCACAGTTTGTCTAAAATTTGTGCCTATCTCCCCACCCCTGACCATTTACATAAAGTTACAAAGTTTGTGCTTTCTCTTTTAGCAATACATTCTTTTTGCTTCTTTAGGTCTCAAATGACCAGTCTGTTTCTTTCCCATAGGTCCTAAAAGTGCAACAGAACAATGAAGAGGTCAAGAAAGATAAGGAGCACGGCTGGAAGAAAGGGCACAAACGCCTCTGGAGTAGCTTTGCAGCTATGTGATCTTCTGCAAGTTACGTAACCATTCCAAATCTCATTTCACCATGTATAAAAAGAGGATCATGGTATCCAACCACTGGAAGGCATTTCTGAAGGTGACTCAGAAATGAGCAAGAAAGGTAGAACGAAAACTAAAACATGGAGTGTTTGCTCCAGGAGTGCATATACTAAAACTGGAACAGAGAAGATTAATATGGTCCCTGTGCAAAGTTGAGACACAAATTTGTCAAGTATTCTGTATTTTCAAGCAAAATGTGTGTGTGTGTGTGTGTGTGTAAAACACACCATGGGAAAGAGTTGCCAACTACAGTTCAGAAACAAGGCCTTACCTGATGCTTCACTGTGAATTGCTAGATCATGGTAGTGTATAGGTCCCCAGGATAGAGAAAGAAAGCTCAGTGAACTTAATTAAAATCCTGGGAAAAGGAGCAGCTAGCAATCTCACTGACTGCATGCCACTTTTCATGTTTCTCTGAGTGGGTCAAAAACTCAAGAAAAATAAATTGAGACTCTTCTTTGTGTCCAAAAAACAGGGAAGGTACTGTGAAGAGCACAAGACGAATAAGACTCAGTCCTTCCTTCAAAGAATTTATAATTTATTAAACATAAACATCTATTATACAAAGCAGTTACGATTTGTATAAACCAACTGCCTCAAGAAGTTCAAAAGAGAGCCAAACAAAAGATAGTAAGAGGAAGAATTTCCTAGGAGCTAAATTTAAACAGAATTTCAAGAACAGGCACACAAAGAAATTTGAGAGCACAGTTGTCCCTCAAATCTGCAGGGAATTAGTTCCAGAACCCTCACAGACACCACAATCTGGGGATGCTCAAATCCCTTACATAGAATGGTGTGCGGCAATGTATGCAAACTATTTCCAAAAATTTGAAAATAAAATCAGTCTTTTCTTGTGAAACAAACAAAAAAATGTATGCAGTCAGCCCTCTGCATCCCTGCATTCCCACCTGCAGATCAAAAACAGTTTTCAGTCCACAGTCAGTTGATTCTGAGCATGCGGAACCCTTGGATATAGAACCCGTGGATATGGAGGGCTGACTGTACTATAGGATTGTAGGACACGGGGATTCTTAATGCCACTAGACGTTACTTAATTGTTCTCCAAAGATGTTGTCCTCTCAACAACAGTCCGAAAGTTCTCATCCTTACAACACTTAGTATAGCCAGAGTTCATTTTAAAATGCTTTAGCCAATATGATGGCTAGAAAAGGGTATCTCGCTTTAATTTTCATTTTCTATCCTAACATTGTCCAGAGCTGTTTCATATGTCTGTGTTTTTACTATGAAGTAAAAGGCACAATCTGTTTAAGGATAATAAGATGTGTGTGACTGGAGCCCAAGACAGAGAAAGTGCATGAAGGACAAACTCTCTCTTCCTTCCAGAGGTTTCTCCAGAACCTTGCTCTTTCTCTCCACCCCATAAATTGCCGGTTTACATCAGCAGATAGGGACAAACCTCTCCTTTTCTCCTTGAATGTGCCAGAGTAAATTAAAGAGTTTGTAAATGAACATGGCTGAAAAATACTGGTCTTGACAGAAACATCTGAAACCATTTCCTCCATTTTTGCCCAGAACTTGGTTTCTGCCCAATTTATATTATAAAATAGTCAAGGTGCCTTAGAAAACACACAAAAATGTTGATTCTGGTCTGGAGACCTGGTTGCAAATGCCTGGCAGGAATATAGCCACTCTTCTCCTCTCATCCGAAGGGTAGAAAAGTGCAGGAAAGATAAACCAAGGTATGAACCTGATTTTTTTGATACTCATTTAGGAGGGTGTTGCCACGAAAGCTCCCATGGGGATATAATTTTACGGTAAAATTCCTGTAAATAATTTTAGGAGAAAAATTATTGCTTTTTTCCAGAATCTCTTTTAGATTTTTTCCATGCTAAGAACAAAGTGGCAACCAAAAAGAAATGAAAACAGTATGCAGCAGAATCCTCAGTGAATATAACAAAAAGCAATGTTCTCAATTCTGGTCAATACATAGCATCAAAGTTAGGAAAGAACTATATTCCGAATTCTCATTAATGTGATTCAACAAGCACATTCCCCACTACAGCAGAAAAAAAGAAAATCACTATAAATATTTGCTTTCAAAAAAGAGTTGCTATTATCATTCTAATAATACTATAAGCTACATTGCTTCAAATACACATAGATTTGCCTCTTCCAGTCATTTTCAACCCCTCAGGGCATATCTGGCCAATTTTCATTTTAAGACAGTTTTTGTTCTCATACCTGGAGGATGGTGCTCCTAGCATGTTAGTGGGTTGAGGCCAAAGGTGCTGCTAAACACTTCCAATGCATAAGACAGCCCCACAACAAAGAATTATTTGGCCAAAATGTCAACAGTACCAAGAAACTTGAAAACTACTTTTGATATATTTGGTCAGTCACAACACCTTCTCCATATACTGCACAAATCCTTTTTTGTGTTTTTACCTTTCTTGGAATAATAAAGCATAATACACCAAAAATGTTGCATGGCTTCTTCCATCTTCAATATTAAAATGGCTGCGCAAAAATTCACCAATTTTGATTGTCTTCTTTAAATGCAGGCCAGTGTGACAGCTGTCACAATAAGGACCTAACAAAATTGTTTCGAATGAAGTTAAAGACAACTAAGCAACTAAGCTGACTCTAGTCAGCTACTAGAATAACTGACTTTTTGGCCAACCCAACACATAAATAAAAATTTCCAATTTAGTAGTTTTCACTTGAAATATTTTAGGGAGAAAGAATATAGTGCAGGATTCCTGCCATGTTATCAAACAGTGTTCCAACTATATTTATTAGCTTATCACAACTACCTACATAAAATTCATAATCAAACTGGCTACTGCTGGTTCCACCTATTACAAATTAATATTTTCCCTGCATTTTGGTGATAACTGATTTCCCCATGCCTACTCACCAAAAGCAACTAGTCCTCAGATTTCAGCAGTAGGTTTTACATAGTCATTTTCTAAGGAAATCATTCACATCTGAAATTCCCTTTCCTGATGTTACAGCCCATTAAAACTTGATTGTTCAGCTCCATGAAACTCAAAAGCCAAAGAGGGGAGGGAAAGATGATTTGGACTGTAAACTTAAAGGCAGTAAGGAAGAAATGCCTCCTATAAAAAGTAAAGGGTGTTGGTGATTAAGTGACATAAAATAGACAAAGGCTGAAGAGGTTCCTCTAAAAGTGCAAAGCTATCAGAGGTTACTTTATTTCCCACTAAGATGCCTTGGGTCTTTGGAAAATAAAGTCATTTTTCTGGTGAATTTTTTTTAAAGTCTCCATTTCTAAGTTTGTGGAAGGCATTTATTTACTTGTCTATGTTCTAGCTATTACACTAAAAGAAAACTTTAAAGTTATGGAAAAAATCAGTTCACATTTAAAAGAACCACACGGGGTTCAAAAATCCATTTCAGCCCTGGTCAGGTAGTTCAGTTGGTTAGAGCATCCTCCCAATACTCCAAGGTGGCAGATTCCATTTATGGTGAGGGAGGGCACATACAAGAAGCAACCAATGAATGCATAAATAATCGGAACAACAAATCTATGTTTCTCTCTCTCCCTAAAAAGAATAAATATTTTTAAAAAGAAATTCATTTGAAACCATCACATATATCTGAAATAAAGAAAAAGCATTGTGTTAACTAATAGAAATCCATCTGAATGCTGGTTTCTCAAGCTAACAAAGTAGGAATGTAGAGAGTTGGGCAGCTTAGCCACTGAAGTTTTCTGAGACGCTTGAAGATGTAGACAAAACTATTGCTACATGGATTAGTTACACTCTACACAAAAAGGTCAACTTTGGAGTGTAAGCCTGAAATAGAAATTTGTGTCTTTGTGTTAAGCAAAATTCAAGCAGAAAAGTGCCCTACGTACTTACCAAAAAAATGCCAAATGATCCTAATCTAAAAAAAAAAAAAGTATAGTAGGGCATTTATATGCAAGACAATTTCAGGTAATTGAGCACAGAGTTAAAAATACAAAAATGGAAAACTCCAAGGACACCTCATATGTGACAATTGGCAGCAAAATATGTTTAGACAAAACTGTGGTGAGACTGTCTTTAGGTAAATGTAAAAAGTTTTGTTTTACATGAACTTGACTAGACTATTAACTGCAGTTCCAGCTTCTGAAAACAAGAACCGGCACCAGGTTTAGGAAAAGAGTGGCTAAGGGAAGAATCTGTGTGTCTACAGCTTCCCCTCTAAATCCCCAAGGAGGAAAGCTGCTGCCTAAAGGTATTGGGTAACTAGGCAGCCTTACTGAAAACAACCAAGGTTCTGAGCGTTGTTTTTGGCAAGAGGTAAGTGTTACCGGCTACTTCCTGGGGCGCTTGGAAGGAATGTGTCACCATCAATCAGAAAGTACACTGAGCCCCGTGTTTAGGTCACAGAAGGAGTGCTGCCTCGTCCAACACGGATAAATCATGCCAACTCAAGGAGGAGAAAGGAGAGTTGCAGGAAAGGTGTTGTTACCCAGTGCCCTGCAAAACCAAACAGAAACCCGAACTTGTACAGTAAGAAAATTGCTGTGCTGTCAAGTTACAGAGAACTCCAGAGCCCGGGAGGTCCGGCGCTCCCACTCCCGTGGGGACCAGCACTGTGCTCCTCGGGCAGAGGGGCAGTCCAACCCACTCTCATCAGCGGGCTTGGGGACCGTCAAGTCCGCACTCACCTCTGCGATGCTGGGGAGGGACGAGCTCCCCACCTACTCTCTGGCAAGCCCCGCGCCCAGGGCTGAAGGATGGTCAACTGTCCCCTAGGGTGAGCCTCACGGGAGAGGGACGGGTCGCGGGAGTGCTCACCTGTGGGGATGCTGGAGGGCTTCTCCAGGTCTGCACCTAAGCAGGGTTTCCAGAGCTGGATGACCAGGACCAGCCATAGGAACTGAGGTTTCACTATGCACAACCCCATCTTCGGCCCCTGGAGGGCCCGCGCGGGCTAGGGCACCCTCAAGACCCTGCAGCTCCGAACTTCTCGCGAGAACCCGCAGAGCCCCCTGGTTCCGCCCCAGACGGAGACTGCGGAGATTGGGGCCGGAGGGAGCGAGTGAGCTAAGTGCGCGCTGCTAGCCCGCACCCAGAATCAGGCCGTCGGAGGCGCACTCGGCACTGCGAGCGAATTATAGGCTTCCCGAGTGGGAGGCGACAGGGCGGGCCGCGCCGCGCCCCAACTATTGGCCGCAGCTGACCCGGCGCGTCGCTGCGTGCGGCCCCGCGGTCGCCTCCGCTCGGCTTCGCTGCCCCACGTCTGGGTTTGTTTGCTCAGCGCCGGCCTTTTTAGGGAACTGTCTGCGGCTACGTGTGGAGGCTCACGCAGGGATCTGGCTGGAAGCGAGAAGCCTGTACTTCAGTTTGGGAGTGGGCCTGGGAGAGTGGGGAGGAGCCGCAGGCGTCTGCGGGCAGGCGGCGCTCCCCCTCGCTTACTTCTGCTGCCCCAGCCCCAGACGCTTTCTTTCCATTCGCCTCCAAGGGTGAGAAGTTTCCCTTCTCTGGGCTTGGATACTACCTTGTGAGAAGTGGCTGAAAATCCTCATCAATGTAGGCTGAGTGGCACCTAGCCAGACTCTGGCATTGAAATGGATCTCCCACCCCCACCCCTGTTAAACTCAGGGGTCACGTTTCTTCACCCAGCCAAACAAAGGCTCTGTTTTTGTTACTCTAAACTGAAAGTTTTTATTATCCCGTGAACACTTCTTCCTCTTCCTCCAGTGCCAGGAGAGTCATAGACTCTCTCCAGTAATGGCTTGTAAATCCTGCGAAATTGGAGCCCAGCGGTGTAACCTGGGGCTGTGCCTTACAAGATCGTCCTTCAGTCCACATGGAAAATTACTCCCGGAGATGTCTCAGCCATCTCTCGGCTCCTTGGCGCGTCCTCCCCTGCTTGCAGTTTTGACTCCTGTCTAAGCACATTTCATTTTTCCGTATTACTTCTCATAACATTTTAGCTAGTCCAGTGTTTAATCTGTTAGGGTGAGCAGGGCAAAATGCAAATTAAGGTGAAAGCGTGAAGATACTGCCTTATATATTTCATGACATGAGCTGTATTATGGGACAAAAAGAATCAGACTGGCAGTATGGCAGTATTTTGTATGTCATCTACTGATTTGAGCCAATACCATTTCCAACTCTGAACCTTTGAAGTGAAAAAAATTATTGAAAAATGAATGTTCCATTATAATCACATTTTGTCTACAATTAGCATGGTATCTAGATGAGAGGAGCACGAAATGGTTGCACAAAAAAACAGGTGGAAAAACCTGCAAAGAAATGTTCCCTGGGGTGTGACATTTTAGAAGAAGAATCATTTCCTGTGCTCAGAACTAAGCCAGTTGTTAACTGTTTTGAAGGTTTGGTCTCAATATTTTAAAAGGAAAATTGGAGAAAGTTCAGAGAGGAGTAACAAATAATTAGATGGAAAGTATGACCTGTGAGAAGAATGAAATGAGGTTTGTTCAGCCCAAAGAAGAAAAATCTAAGAGATGGATTCCTTCATAACATCTCCCAGTGTGTGGCTAGCACCACTCTTTAAAACTGGGCAGTAGGCAAATAACATTAGTCCTTTGAGGGCTCTGCTGCAAATGGCTGGTCTTTTGACCAGATCTCTGCCTCCAAAACTCCAAACTTGTCCACTGCACCCGAACTCTGCCAAACTCCTTGAACTGGACTTCTTGCTTCCCGGCTTGCCTGGTATCTTCAAGAACTTGCATGGTTAGAACGTAGCTTTCTGCCTTCCTTTCATGCCCTCATGCACATTTATAGCCTCTCCACATCACAAGTGTGTGTGTGCTTCTGCTGCAAAGTCTGCCAATCATTGCAGGTTACCATAACATTCACCCTTCTGTATTGAGTCACAGGTCAGGGCTGTAAGAATTGTATAAAGCAAGTTTTTCTTTGGGGTTTTCAAAATAGCCAGACATATGTATCACCATCTGAAAGAGCCCCAATTCTGAAATAAAATCCTTCCTACCTTCTTGTATTTCCAGCTGTCTGCTGAATATCTATCTCTCTTTGGACATTCCACTGGCACAAAGTCCAAATGTCTTTTAACTCATCAAATCCAAATCCCACTCAGTTTCCTCATCTCTATTAATGATACTGCTGCTCTCTGACTCACATGGCCCCGCTACACACAGAGCGTTAACACCAAATCCTGCCCTTTTTTCCCTTCACATTTTCTCTCCATCTGTTTCTTTCCATGCTCACTGCTACCTCACTAATGCACTTCTGAATATACCCTAACTGTGCTTTTTGAATTGTCTCCTTCCTGTATACTCTCCCTGCCCCCAGCAATATAACATTGGATACCACTGCTAGATTCATCCTACTCAGATATCCTTTTGATTACTTCATCCCCTGTGAGAGGCCGCTCTGCGTGGCATGGGCCCAGCTCCCACAGGGAGATGCACAGGACCCACGCCCACAGATAGGTTTTCCCATGGGGAATCAGGCCTGCAATGTACCTAGGCCACTATGAGTAGGTTTTCCCATGGGGAGTCAGGCCTGCAATGTACCTAGGCCACTATGAGTCTTCCTTTTTGCTAAAACTTCCTCACCCTGAATTGAGGACTTTAACTGCAAAGCAACTTCCTAAAATCCATGCTAAACCTTCCAAGGATGAGTGTAGCCGGTTCAACTACTTTTGCCTTTTCATTTGCAAATATCCCTCTTCTGTGATGTGATAACCAGCATCTTCCCCTTACTTTTCTGTATAAGGTAACCACCTAAAGCGAGCCTGTGCATAGTTAATGAGGACCTTCTTGTAATGTGAGCAGTAAGACAATAAAAGCTCATTGGAGGTAGAGCCAAGGTTTTGGCTCCCCTTGAGAGAAGAGCCATGCTGTCCCTTTTCCTCCACAGGACTTGGTAATCCACGTGAATGTTTCATATTCATCCATGATGATTCGGACCCCATGAGCCAGGGTCCACATCAATCCCCATACTCGAAGATTTCATGAGGAATTTGGAAAAAATTCAAATTCCTTAACGTAAAATTCAAATTCCTTTGCTATCAAACCTAATCACTGCTACCTATATCCTATATCCAGCCAAGCTGGTTTGTTTTTTAAATCTCCCAAAGGCTGCCATTTTTATTCCCTAGAGTTTGGGTAACAGTCACTGTCTTGAATTGGGTTCTTCCAGAGGCCAACCCTGAACTGAGACTTAAAGACCAGCAGTTTGTTGGGAGTTTGAAAGAAAAGGGTAGTTGAATATGAAGTGATAAAGAAAAGGAATGTTAGCTGGCAATGGGTGCCTTGTTAAATCTAACACAGTAGCTGACTAAAGTTTGCCTTGTTCATGTTATCTATCTAAAAAGCTTTTCGCCAAACCTCTCCTCCTTTTTTTCATTGGGCTAACTTAAGTCAGATACCGCCTCCTACAGGAAACCCAACTTGAGTGCCTCCCCCTGCGGCTGAGGCTGGCTTAGATGTCCATGTTCCATGCTTTCTAACTCTTTAAACAACCTCTTTAGTTTTTTAGCAGATTTTTGTTAGTTTGTTAATTAGAGGAGGGCAAGATCTATTTTTTTGCATCATTGTATACTAAATAACTGGCACATAGTAGCATGTATTCATCCATTTGTCCATTTAAAAAACATTGCATGCTTGTGGGGGTGGGGCTCCCTGTCGAGATTGCTGCATAGGCAGACATGTGTCGCCTCTTTGTACAACCACATCAAAATTACACCTAAAATATAGAACAACCATCACTCATCACTCAGAAACTTCAGAAATCAAGTTGAATGGAAGTCTGACAGCTATAGAATTAAAGAAACCACATCCATCAAGACTGGTAGGAGGGGCACAAAAAACAGCCTAAGCTGGTTTCTCACCACATACAGTGGCTGGTCACAGCCACCAACCGGCAGTGACCTCGGAATGCTACAGGTGGCTCATCGAAACATGAGAAAAAACACATACACAGAGACAACTGAGTCCTGTGGAGAAATAGGGACGAAACAGCCACTCTCTCTAGTGGGGAGCACCATGGCCAACCCCCCTAGGGGAGAGCGCCCCGTTCTCCAAACCCCACCCCCCACCAGCAGGCTTTTATTGGGTTCATTTACATAAGAATTCAAGTAAAGCTCATTACTCATTGCCAGGAAGTAAGGGTCAAACAATAGGTAACAAGGAAGTCTGAGGGCCTATTTTGAGTCAGGGTCAAAGAGCTGTAAAAACTTTAAGGAACAAACTTACTTCTTCCCTGAACCCTTATCATTCAACTGAGAGCATTCTAAACAAAACAGGTTTCACAGGCTTTTACATATTCTTTCTTAGTCCTGATCACCCGGGGAAGCCGCACTTTCCAGCAGAACTGCACCACCTTCTGTCATTGTTTCAGGCTTAGGTGGAGCAAGGGAAGTAAGGCAGCCAAGAGATTAGAGGATTTTCTGGCAGACAATGAAGACTCAGGCTATGTTAAAGCTGAGGGGCAAGGGTCCATCACCCCCTTTTGCTGTAGCCCCCAAAGTCCTTCCTTGAGGGCCTCCCACGTGACCGTGCCTGTCTTAGATCGTTCCCCCCTTGGGGAATTTTACCTGTCAGTGGCTAACCAACCAAGCATTGGGGGCCAGTTATGGATGAAGTAGCAGAAGCAGCGCTCCTGCCAGGGAGATAAGCCTGTCTCCTTGGTGGCTTATGGTTCCAAGGTCGTTCCCTCAGCCTTAGCCTTGGTGAGAGTTACAGCTTCTGATACCAGGCAGGGCAGTTCCCAGCATCGGCTGAAAATTTAGGAAGGAGCAAATAGTCCCAGCCCCACCCCAAGGCCCCTAGCCCAGGGTTCCAGTACCAGGAAGATCAGTCCCCACAACTCTGGCTGCAAAAACCAGTGGGATTGAGTAAGTGGAAGAAATTTCTGGAGCCCTAAGCAGTTCCTCTTAAAAAACAAAACAAAAAAACCCACACATGGACTCACCTACTCAGAGTCACTCCCTCTGAGCTCCAGCTCCAGGGTAGCAGCTTAAAGAGCATCAGAGGATACTGGGAGAGGCTGAAGTGTCTGACATTGGGGCAAACAGAGGCCATTGTCCCTTTTCTGAGTCCCCACAACAGAGGCAAAGTGCTAGCCGGCTGTTGCCATATTTGGGACGCCATCAACCTGGATAACAC